TCCTCAATAAGAAGGAGGGAAAGATTTCTTCAAAAACTAGCCTGGTCCAGGGGGCAACAGGGGCAAAGCGGTCTCATTGGACAATGCAGTGACAAGTGAACCTGGGAACTAAACAGGTGTCCCATTCATTCTTAATTGTACCTGACTGTCCTGCACCACTGTTAGGGAGAGACTTATTGTCCAAAGCTCAAGCACATACATTCTTCCATAAAAACGGTGTCCATGTTACTGCTGGGGAAGGCTCTCCTCTGCAGGTTCTAACAATTGCCTTACACGATGAATACCGACTGTATAAAGGTGTAGAAGACTAATGTACAGGCTTAACGGATATGGCTCCATGGCTGGAAGAGTTTCCCCAAGCCTGGGCAGAGACTGGAGGAATTGGATTGGCGAAACACCAACCGCCCATCATTGTGGACTTAAAACCCTCTGCCATACCGGTAAGAGTCCGACAGTATCCCATGCCCAGGGAAACCCGGGAAGGCATACAACCCCATATCCAGCGGCTGTTACGGGAAGGGGTACTAAAGAGGTGCCGGTCTGCATGGAATACACCTCTCTTACCAGTAAAGAAACCAGGGGAAGAATACCAACCAGTGCAGGATCTGAGAGTGGTAAATCGCCGGGTTGAAGACATACATCCCACAGTCCCTAACCCTTACACGCTGCTCAGTAATCTTCTTCCAGATCATGTGTGGTATACTACCTTGGACTTGAAGGATGCTTTCTTTAGCCTGTCCCTAGCCCCGCAGAGCCAGGATATTTTTGCCTTCGAATGGTTTGATGAAACGGATAAAGTTCTCAGCCAGCTGACCTGGACAAGATTAGTCCAAGGGTTCAAGAACTCGCCCACTTTGTTCAACTAGGCCTTGAGTGACGACTTATGTGAGTACCGGGGTCAAAACCCGCAAGTAACTTTACTACAATATGTGGATGACTTGTTAATAGCAGCCCCCGACCAGGCTGGGTGCCTCAAAGCAACCAGGAAACTGCTCATCACTCTAGGAGAGCTGGGATATCGAGCTAGTGCCAAGAAAGCTCAGATAGCTAAGCCAGAAGTCACATACTTGGGGTATAAGTTGAGAGCTGAGCAGATGTGGCTCACTGAAGCCATGAAACAGACTATCCTACAGATTCCCCGACCCACAAGCCCGAGGCAGATAAGAGAATTCCTAGGAACAGTAGGTTATTGCTGTCTGTGGATTCTAGATTTTGCCACAAAAGCGAAGTCTCTCTATGAGCTCAGTAGAGAAGGGTCGGAGTGGGACTGGACTCCAGAGAGGGACTCAGCTTTTAAAGAACTTAAGAAAGCACTCCTCGAAGCCCCAGCATTCATTACCTGACCCCACTACACCATTTCATCTGTTTGTCAATGAGAAAAAAGGAACTGCCAAGGGGGTCCTAATACAACAACAGGGGCCATGGAAGAGGCCAGTAGCATACCTCTCAAAGAAATTGGATCTAGTAGCAGCAGGATGGCCCCCTTGCTTGAGAATTATTGCTGCCACTGCTTGCTAGTTAAAGATGCAGATAAGTTAACCCATGGACAGACTTTGAAAGTAACCACTCCCCATGCTATTGAAGGAGTGCTCAAACAGCCTCCAGGGAAATGGATAACCAATGCCAGATTAACTCATTATCAGAGCCTATTACTTGACACTCCAAGGGTACAATTCTTAGCCCCAACAGTTTTAAACCCCGCCACCCTGCTACCTAACCCTGACCTAGATAAACCTCTGCACGACTGCTCAGAAATACTCGCAGAGGTAAATACGGTCAGAAAGGACTTGCGAGACTGCCCATTGGAGAACAGTGACCTCATCTGGTTCACGGATGGAAGCAGTTTCGTACAGGATGGACTAAGGTATGCAGGGGCCGCAGTGGTAGACAGCCGGGAAGAAATTATTTGGGCTGATGCTTTACCGCCAGGAACTTCCACTCAGAAAGCTGAATTTATTGCCCTGGTGGAAGCATTGGAAAGGGCGGAGGAGAAGAGGCTAACGGTGTATACTGACAGCCGGTACGTGTATGCGGCTCTTCATATACATGGTGCAATCTACCGGGAGCATGGGTTCAGAACCGCAGAAGGAAGGAAATAAAGAACCACACAGAAATCCTCCGTTTACTGTCAGCTGTGACCCAGCCACGAATGGTAGCGGTGGTTCACATCCCGGGACATCAGAAGGGACACTCCCCTGAAGCAAGAGGCAACAGAACAGCAGACCAGGCAGCTAAGAGGGCTGCCCTCCAAATGGTATGAACTTTAGTAACTAATTTACCTTGCCCGCAACTGGAACCCCTGCCCCCTACTCCCAACTACTCTGAACAAGACATACAGTGGGCTGAAAAATCACCACAAATAGAAAAAGATCAGAATGGATGGTATATGGACTCAGAGAGAAAACTGATTCTCCCAGAAGAATTGGGGCGGCATCTTCTCACACACCTCCACCAAGTGACTCACTTGGGGGAACGGAAAATGTTGGCATTACTGGACAAAGGGCAGGTCCGTATACACCATCAGAAGCAAGCGGCTCAGAGTGTGGTAGACCGGTGCCAGGCCTGTCAGGTCATGAAAATAGGGAAGAGGAAGAACACACACACAGGTACGAGGGTAAGGGGGATGGAGCCGGGCCATCATTGGGAAATAGATTTCACTGAAGTTAAACCAGGTAAATATGGATATAAATATCTCTTAGTGTTAGTGGATACTTTCTCGGGATGGGTGGAAGCTTACCCTACTAAAGGGGAAAAGGCAGTAATAGTAGACAAGAAAATTTTAGAAGAGATAGTACCCAGATATGGAATGCCTAGGATGTTAGGATCAGACAATGGACCAGCTTTTGTAAGTAAAGTTATCCAGGGCTTAGCCTTGACTCTGGGGGTACATTGGAAACTACATTGTGAATATAACCCTCAGAGTTCAGGGCAGGTAGAAAGAATGAACAGAACCCTAAAGGAGACCCTATCTAAATTGGCAATAGAAACTGGTGGAGACTGAGTGACCCTCCTTCCCTTTGCGCTCTACCGGGCTAGGAACACCCCGTATATGCTGAATCTGATCCCATTTGAAATAATATATGGGACGCCACCCCCTATTATTTCCAACCTGGAAAAATATCCCGATGGGTTGTCAAAAGATTTAGTCTTGGGGATGAAGACTCTCCAAATAATTCAAAAGGAATTATGGCCCAAACTCCGAGCCACATATGAAGGTCCTCTTAGTGAACAGGGAATTGACCATGGGATTGAACCGGGAGACTGGGTGTGGGTAAAGAGGCACCAGCATAAAACACTGGAACCGAGATGGAGGGGACCTTATTTTGTTGTTCTTGTAACCACTGCTACCCTAAAGGTAGATGGAATCAGAGCCTGGATACATCACTCTCACATCGGGAAAGCTAACTTGCTGGAACAGCAGTCCGCACGAACAAACTGGAGAGCACGTTCAGATCCTGAAAACCCGTTGAAGGTCAGAGACAATGAGGACTGAAACTTTCATCTTCGCCTTAAGCCTCTGCCGCCTTGGAACCAGCACAACTAATCATCAACCTTTCAAGGTTACTTGGCGAATTCGCGACAGACAAACCCATGAAACTTTGAACTCTACTAACTCTACCACCCCCCTTAACGTATGGTGGCCCGATTTGTTTTTTTTCCCTTGGAAAAGCTACAGAATGTGGGTGGGCCAAATGCCATATCAGATCTATGGGTTTTTATGCTTGCCCAGGGTATAAAAGAAATGTCCGGCAATGTGGGGGGCCCCCTCAGTACTACTGCAAAAGTTGGAGCTGTGTAACTTCTAATGATGGGGACTGGAAGTGGGAGGTGAACACCAATGATTACATAAAATTCTCCTTTGCCGACAGCCCAGCCAGATGTACAGACCAAACTTCAAATGGAGAAAGGGATGAGCAGATAAAAGTTACATTCACTGAACAAGGAAAAAAGAAATTAACCAAGTGGAAGTCAGGGCTCAGTTGGGGCATTCAGGTTTATTCATACCCTTACCCATCTGGGGTGTTAACCATTTTACAGGAAGTAGAGCCCTTAGATGCCGGGTCTGTAGGTCTGAATGAAGTGTTAAACCCCCCAGAAAAAGGAGCCCCACCCCCTACAAGAAAGACGCTGAAAGAATCGAGCACTGTAACCCCTGGTATTACAGTAAGTGTCCCCCATACAACTTCAAGGGTCCAAGCCAATCCTCAGGACGTAGACCCTCTTTGGAATTTAATGCTAGCAGCCTACCAAACACTTAACCATACTAGTCCTAACCTGACTCAAGCCTGTTGGCTTTGTTACAATGTAAACCCTCCATTTTATGAAACAATAGGCATTAATACTTCTTTCATCTATTCTCATGACCTGAACCCAAAGAATTTCTCCTGGAAAGACCATAAGGTAGGATTTACCATACAACGTATAACAGGAAAGGGCTTATGCGTGGGGAAACCCCCCAAAGTTCAAGAACGTTGCACCTCATATACAGAAATAAACTCGTCCTTTAACTGGATCATTCCCAGGGAAGGGGGTTGGTGGCTTTGCTCAAGAGCTGGACTTTTACCCTGTTTAAACTTGAAAGTACTTGATCAGTCCTCAGATTATTGTATACTAGTAACTGTTCTACCCCGAATTCTTTACCACCCAGAGGAAGAGATGTATGTACACTGGGGCGGGACTAATAGAGTGAAAAGAGAACCACTCACTGCAGCCTTTACTTTAGCCACTCTATTTAGTTTAGCGGGGACCGGTATAGGAATAACTTCATTAACTTTGCAGAATCAAGGCATGACTTCCCTGAGAGCAGCTATAGATGAGGACCTTGAAAGAATAGAAACCTCTATCTCCCATTTAGAGAAATCTTTAACCTCGCTATCAGAAGTAATGCTGCAGAACCTGCGGGGGTTGGATCTTCTGTTTCTTCAACAAGGGGAATTGTGTGCAGCTCTAGGGGAAGAGTGTTGTTTCTATGCAGATCATATGGGAGTAGTTCGGGAATCTATGGCCAAGGTACGAGAAGGACTTGCCCTAAGAAAAAAGGAGTGTGAAACTCAGGAAGGATTGTGCGAATCTTGGTTTAATAACTCCCCGTGATTGACTACCTTGATATCTGCCCTCTTAGGACCCTTCATAATCCTTATAATTATATTAACTTTTGGCCCCTGCATTATAAATAAGCTTATATCATTTGTGAAAGATCGAGTTAATACTGTACAACTCATGGTCCTGAGACAACAATATCAGTCCCTATCTCCTGTAACACCGGATGAAGATTCCTCATATGAGTAACAAGAAAAAGGGGGGAATGTGAGGCCTGAGTCCTAAGGAATGTGAAGCCTGAGTCCTAATGCCCTCCAGGTAATTCTTTAACCAGGAGTCTTTAGTCAGAGCTTCACCTGGCTCCAGCACGTCCCCCATGCCTCAGGGCTTTACATCCCCTCCAGGTAATTATCCTCTAACCAGGAGTCTTTAATACTGGGGATTCCAGCGCATCCCCCACGCCTCAGGGCTTTACCTCAAACCCCCTCCCCTCCTTCTCTACCCCCTAGCAACAACCAATCATTTGTACCCCATTGCCTTGGTGTTACCTCACCCTATATTTTTCCTATAAAAATGTAATAGTAGGAGAGCACGGGGTCTTTTGCCCAAGCCGCTGCATCGGTTTAAGCTGAGACCCTAGCTTGAGCTAGCTAATAAACTTTCCTTTTGCTTTTGCATTATCGTGTCAGTAGTAGCTTCCTCGCGCTGACACTCCTTTCGAGACCTGAGTCCAACACCTACTTTTTTTTTTTTTTCTTTTAGAGTTATACAACCAATCTATTTCTTCAATGTGCATTGATCTGGACTTCAATTCAACTTTCAGTTCATTTCTGATTCAAGCTGGGAGGACTCTGTGTTCTAAGATGTGTGCCTTTGAATGACTTAAATGACAACTTTGTTAATTAGCTGTTTACCTTATACTTGAAAACAGTATCATCAAAGAATCATGTATATAATTGTTTTTAAAGTAATAGAAAAATATTGCCTAGAAGGCAAGTGGAAAGCAATTTTATTTCACCAAAAATTCCTGCCTCACCCTCATTCTCTTTATATCTACACAGTTCCATAACTTCTCTGATCATTTGCAAATAGTAAAAACTCCTCTGGTTATTTTCAGTATCCAAGTAATCTCATTTTATTATTAATAGGTGTAGTTAAGTGAAATGCACAAAACTCCAAAGTTTATTTCAAACTGAACCTTCTCACCTCCTCTAGCTTGGGCCTGGAAGGGAGGAATTGTTTCATGTGGCTTTTTGTTCCATTTCTTTGTCACCTGCTCTCCTCATTCCTCTTGCTAAATGAAGCTTCTGATCCTTCCAGAGCTGGTGGCGAGGAAATCTGGGGGCAGGAAATATATTTTTGCCTGCAACTCCTGTGATCTGGGATTCTTGCTCTGTGGGCAAGGTGGATTCTTTTTTTCTTATGTCTTGGACTCTGTTGCTCTCTGTGCTGAATGGATTAATTGTTTTCTCTATGTCCTGGTCTTTTCTTTTTTCCAACTGTGATTTGGGTTTACAAAAAAGTTTATAGAACAAATTTGTTTTCCATACAACAGTTCATACACATTTTGTTTCATGACAGTGGTTGTAATTCCCAATTTCTTTCTGTGATTACCTTTCCCTTTGCCCTTCTTTCCTGTGCATTCCTGCCCTCTGAGCTATCTCCCTATGCAAATAGTGTCCTTCTGGTCTCCCATGGTTATTCTAAGGAGTGTACACATACCTGGTGTAAATGTTCACCTTAGATGCTTATCATTTGGCTGGAAGCCATGGGAGTGAGTTCAATTCCAGGCCCGAAAGATGACTAGGGACCATAGTCTTAATGGCTTCACCACTCTCTGTAGACCAGTAAGCCTGGTATTTTTTTTATGATTTTCAGTTTTGTTCCATATTTTTCTCCCATTCTATCTAGGATCTCCTATTTTGATCCCTTTACAAGTGATTGACAGTGGTAGCCAAGCATCATCTAGTTCTTCTGGTCTCATGGTCATATATGCTGAGATTCACATGGTCCACTAGTCCCTTGGACTAATTCTTTTCATGTGTCTTTGGTTTTCTTCATTCTTCTTTGCTCGAGGCAAGGAGAGACCAACTGTTGCATCTGATGGCTGCTTGCAAGTTTTTTTTTTTTTTTCTTAAACTTTTATGTTGGCAAAACATTTGCCAACATAACAAAATCCCCATTTACAGATCAGGGACTTTGATGACATTTTCCATGTTGTGCCACCATTATTGCTTTCCTTTTCCAAAATATTCCACCACCATTAGCATAAACTCATTGCATTGCAAACAAAAGCTTCCCATTTCCCTCTTCCCTCCTACCCCTGGTCACCACTAATAATTTTTGGGATGTATATAAATGCAACACACTGCTGTGGAGTCAGAGCCGACTCATAGCTAGCCTTCCTTGGATTTCTGAGGCAATATCACTACAGAAGTAGATTGCCCAACTTTCCTTCTGTGGAGTGGCTGGTGGGTTCCCTGACCACCCACCCCTGAACATATCTAGGAATTTAGCCTCCCCTCCCCTTCCATCCATAGTAACCAACAAAGAAACTTTCTTTCTATGTATAAACCTGTCCTTGGCTTTTTTATAATAGTGGACTAAAGTAATATTTATCTTTCTGTAATTGACTTATTTCACTCAGGCATAATGTCCTCCAGGTTCATCCACATTATGTGGTATTTTGCAGATTCTACATTATTCTTTAGTGCTGCATCGTATTCCATTGTGTATATGTACCACAGCTTGTTTATTCATTCCTTGGTTGATGAGCACTTGTTGTTTCCATCTCTTTGCTATTGTGAATAGTGCTGCAATGAACATGGGTGTACAAATTTCTGTTCATGCCCTATGGGTATATATATTTCTGTTTGTGTCCTGACTCTCACTTCTTTAGGATACATACATACTAATAGGATTGCTGGATCAAATGGTTTTTCTATTTCCAGCTCTTAAAGCAATTTCCATACTGATTTACAGTGGTTGTATCATTTGACAGTTCTACCAGCAGCATACGATAGTCCTAATCTATCCGCACCCTCACCAGCATTTGTAATTTTCTGTCTTGTTGAACTTCGCTATTATTGCTGGGATGAGATGGTATCTCATTGTAGCTTTTATTTCCACCTCTCTAATGGCTAATGATAGTGAATATATCTTCATTTGTTTGTTGACCACCTGCATATCTCCTTTGGTGAAATGTCTGTTCATGTCTTCTCATTTTTTAATTGGCTTGCTTGTGTTTTTGATATTGAGGTGTTGGGATTTTTCTACAAATTTTAGAGATAAGTCCCTTATAAGATATGTTATTACTGAATATTTTTTTTCTCCAAAATCTATAGGTTCTCTTTTTACTCTTTTGGAGAAGTCTTTTTAGGCACATAAGAATTTAATTTCTAGAAAGTCCCATTCATCTAGTTTTTTTTTCTGCTGTTTGTACATTTTCACTTATGTTTGGTCATCTATTAATGCCATATACTAGTGTCCCTAAGTTTGCCCCTATTTTTTCTTTGATAAACTTTATAGTTTTAAGTCTTTAGAGTTAGTTTTTATGAATTTTGTGAGGTATAGATCTTGTTTATTTTTCTGCAAATGGATATCCAGTTTTGCCAGCACTATTTGTTAAAGAGACTGTCTTTCCCTCATTGAATAGATTTCAGCCCTTGTCAAAGATCAGCTGACCATAAGTGAATGGGAGCTCTGGTGGTGTAGTGCCTAAGGCACTTGGCTGCTAACCAGAAGTTTGGCGACTCAAACCCACCAGCCACTCCTCAGAAAGAAGATTGAGTGATCTCCTTCCATAGTGATACTGCCTTGGAAACCCAAAGAGGGGTTGGTATGAATTGGAGACAACTCGATGGCACATAACAACAACAACAACTTAGGTGGATGGATCTATTTATATGTTCTCAATTCTGTTCCACCGATCTATGTGTCTCATCATCTCAATACAAGGTCGTTTTGCCTACTGTGGCTGTATAGTAGGTTTTGAGATCTGGGAGTGCAAGACCTCCTACTTTGTTCCTTTTCAGTAGTGCTTTGCTTATTGAAGGGTTTTTTCCTTTCCATATAAAATTAGTGATTGGTTTTTCCATGTCCTTAAAGAACATTGATGGAATTTGGATCAGGATTGTACTTAAGGTATAGATTGCTTTAGGTAGTATTAACATTTTCACAATGTTCAATCTTCCCGTCCATGAGCATGGTATATTTTTCGATTCATGTAGATCTCTTATAGTTTCTTGAAGTAGTGTTTCATAATATTCTTTGTATAGGTCTTTTGTGTCCCTGGTAGGATTTATTCCCAAGTTCTTTATCTTGTTGGTAGTTGTTGTAAAAGGTATTGATTTGCTTTTCAGAGATCTCCTTGCTGGTGTAGAGGAATCCACCTGATTTTTGTATGCTGATCATGTATCCTACCACTATGCTAAATCTTCAATTAGTTCCAGTAGTTTTCTTGCTGACGCTTTTGGATTTTCTATGTATAAGATCATACCATATGGAACTAGGGATAGTTTTCCTTCTCCCAATTTAGCCAACTCCTCATAATATGGTTATGAACTTTCAGAATTTTGAAGGGCTCTCTGTTATAATTCCTTGCTTGTTCTGGGCTTCATCCCCAGCCCTAGATCCCAAGTTCTTGCTTCCTTGAAATTGCTGTGTCTCTAATCTTCAGTTCCAGTGACACCAAAGAATTAGCTGTCAATCTCTAACTTCATTTTACCCATAGGAATATCTCCTACAATATTGGGAGCTACACATTTAAGTAGAGGCTTACAATATTTTAACTAGTATATCTGGGTATTTATAAAGACAATTTTACAGATATTTTTGTCTACTAGAAGCTTCCAAATAAATTTTTGATGAAACTGTTGTTAAGTTTATCATTGCATTGATACTAACTCCAGTTGAGAGACAAGAACAGAGAACCAGGACATTTACAATAAACCAAGCTCACTGCTGTCATGTTGATTTGACTCATAGTGACCCCTCCTTGGGTTTCCAAGACAGTATCTCTATGGAAGTAGATTGCCCAGTCATCAAGGACTGGCAGGTGGGTTTGAAGCACCAGCCTACTGGTTGGCAGTCAAATGCCTTAAGCACAATACAAGCCTCATTTTAGAAAAACAGGGACCAAGACCCAGGGTATCTGTGACCTTCTTAAGGCCACATAATTGGTTTTGATAGACTCAGAATGACCAACCAGGTCTCCTGAACCTTAATCTGTCACTTTTCTTACCAAACCATGTTTCCACATAATTCTTCAAAACAAGATTGGGACACTTATCTCTTTGTATTCTCTTCCTTTTGTAATTGTTTAATTTAGTAGGTAAACACTAGTCCCTGAGAGGAAGAACCAAAATGTCTACTATAACTGAAACCAGGGCCATGAAAAGAGATGTTTTCAACTATGGCAAAATATACATGTCTCAAGCACAAACCTATTGGAAAGGTCAAATCATGGGCAGATGTCTTATCTTGAAGAACACTGGAATCTATGTCACCTCAACTTCCCTTTTAGTGTTACACAACATCCTCTTACTACCATCATGCCAGAATTCTATATAGCTATAATGCATATAAAGCAAAATAAATCAAGTAATTCATTTTAAATGGCCTTATATGTTAAGAAGAAAATTCCAAATGTGAAAATAGTCAAATATTATCCATAGCAATTATATGAATTTATTCAATCCTCATCACAAAGCCATGAAGTAGGCACATTATTATTTCAGTTTCACAAATCAGATACTGAGACTACAGACACTAAAGGACAAAACCAAAAAAACCCAAACCCACAGCCATTGAGTTGATTTCAACTCATAGCAACCTGATAGACACACAGCTATAACTAGAGAACATGATATTGGAATCCAAGCATCAGACTTCAGGAAAAAAATATGTTTGATAAGACTAGTCTATTTATATAAAAGTATTAAAACTACCAAAGGAGAGCTTAATATAATAAAAGAATATGGCACATCAGCAACCACCAGTGTATCTAATGGTATAAAGTGAGAAACATTTCAAATAAATTCACCTATGACAATAATGCCTCCTCTCACCACTCCCATTTAACTTTGTTTTCAAAATGACAGTGAATTAAATTACTCAAAAGACTAAAATAAGTGGTATAAATGGCAAAAAAATATCAACTATTTTCATTATTGGTACACAATATTCTTAAAATTTAAAACCAAAGGGAAAATAACTGATGAAAATGATAGGAAAAAAGGATTTAGTTATGGAAACAATAAAAAGTACTTGGAAAATAGTGTGAGCCTTAATTGCAGAAAGCTATAAAATTCCACCTTACAACAAGGAAAAAGACTTGAATACATTGGGAAGCAGCGCTGTTCTTGGCTAGAAGAGGTAATACTATAAATGTAGCCATTCACTTGAATCTTCCATATTAGTATGCTATTGGCAGAAAATCCAATGTAAATTATTTTCATTGAAGGAGGGTTGAATAAGTACTGCTGGCATTAAACTATGAGCTTAGGGAACATTCTGATTATAAGACTTTCTGGGTCCTCTTGTCTCAGGCATTTTTTCAGTCCAACATGGACTCTCGGTCATCTTGCTTCTCTGTACTTTTGCAATTTACACTCAACAGTTGAACGTGAGCATTGCCATCCCAGCTATGGGGAACCACACATTCCCACCCAACCACCCCGATGCCTCCACAGAAAGGCCCTTCACTGAGTGCTGGGACTACTGGAATGAAACTCTAAAGGAATTTAAGGCAGTGTATGTTAAATGATACAGTGGATTCTTTCCTTGTCTAAAATAGTTTAGCTGAATGAGTTATTTTTGAAAGATGTGATTCATTTAATCATAAAATATTTATTGAGAATTTGTTGTAACCCAGGAATGACACAAGAAACATAATATGCATCTAAGGAGAGTATATCCTGACTTAATGTCTGTGACTGTAATCTTTGACTAAACTAGAATAAAATAAACACATTTTAAAATTTAAGGGAGGAATATACGTACATACAGGAGCTCTGGTGGTGTAGTGCCTAAGGCATTTGACTGCTAACCAGAAGGCTGGCAGTTCAAACCCCCCAGCCACTTCTCTCAGAAGGAAGATTGGGCTATCTACTTCCATAGTGATACTGCCTCGGAAATCAAGGAGCAGTCACCATGAGTCAAATCGACTCCATGGCAGTGAGTTTGGGTTTTTTGGTTTTAAGGAACATGTTTAGGTTTTTTTTTATATTAATTATTAAAATGGTAGATTGGATTAATTGGAGAGAGTTAAAAGGAAGAACCCCCCCCCCATAACTTTTTGCCTTTCAGTCTTCACAAAACCCTGAACTCTCTAACCAAAGGCCAATAAACATGAGATTCTTTTTGTTCTTTAGGTATGAGTGGAGTTCTGAAATCCAAGGATCATCCTCAGCTCCCTCAACTATGTCTCCTTATTAGCTCCAATCCCTCCTGGCTATATAACTGGAATATTTGGAGCCAAGCACATGATTGGTGCTGGCTTATTCATTTCCTCAGTCCTGAACCTCTTCATTCCATTCATCCCACTGACAGCTAATACTGGAGTGCTGTTGCTCACTGTTATTCAGGTTATCCAAGGCAAAGCTCAGGTACCCAGATGTTTTCTAAGTAGATGGCTCAAGAAGGAACAGACATCCAAGAGTGATTTTTTTTTTTTCTTTCAGGTTATTATATCAACAGGTCAGTATTTAATTTGGGTCAGATGGGCTTCTCCACTTGAAAGGAGTCAATTCATTAGCATTGCTACATCTGGTAATCACTACTCTTATCTTTATTTTAGGAGCACTGGTGGCATAGTGAGTGCCTAAGGCATTTGTCTGCTAACCAGAAGGCTGGCGGTTCAAACCCACCAGCCACTTCTCTTAG